TCAGTCGTTTCCCATTTCACCACAACTGCTGAAGAAAAAAACCTTCAGTCACATTTCATCATTTCATCAGCAGCTACAAAACCCTGTCGTGTTTTTACAGTTAATGGTTTTTTAAATGTGAGTTTTCAAACCTTTGACATTTTCACGGTTAATTTTTTTCTCACCAGGACGGACCGCCCTGCCCCCCCCCCCACACACACACACACAGGGATGGAACCTTCACAAAGCCGCCATGATTGATGATTTTCACTCTGACCTTTGAACTGTGGGATCTCTCCTGTTGCACTCTTGGGCAGACCCTTGTGGCAGGCATCACTGGTCAGCGCCACGGTAACGCCGCAGCTTCCCAACAGGAATCCAATCTGCTGGCTGCCGGCATCCTATTGGACGATACAGACGAGGGACACACCCACACCCAGCCACCGCCGTGTTGGTAAGAAAACGTGAAAGTAAATCCAGGGAACTCTTCTTCAGTTTAAAGCTTGAAATTCAGTCGATAGAAATAAATGAACACGTCGGCTTCACACAGTAAAACTGAATTTCAGCCTGAAACCAGATTTCAGGCACAAACATTGTTCCTCCATCAAATCAGTTCCCTCAGTTTGTGGTTGTTGTAAAAACTTTAACATCATAACTTGAAATACTAAAGAGGTTTTGGTTCTAACAGGTTTTTGTAATTTCTCTGTAAAAGATGAGAAAAAACTTTCCTTTTTAAGTTTATTCAATATCCTTTGGTGTTTTTTCCAATTGAACCCATTAACTGTGGTTTCGTGATGTTTACATGAGAAGTTATTGAGCTGTGAATAGTTAATATATTAACATATATATCAAGAGGAGGACACAGACCTAAAACTCCACGTCTACATAAGCAAACACAGCACACGTGATGCGCTGCTGCTGCTGCTGCGTTGTTTCTCTGGCAGAAACAGAAATGTTATGGAAAATCCTGCAGCACGAATGCAGGCTGGGGGGGGAAGGGGTTCAAGACCGACGTGCAGCAAAAAGGCATTTTCTGCTGCAGCAGGTAATCACTGTGTAACCATACACTGCACTGGTCGTACCACTGCACACGCAGTCGGCCAACTGGGCTAAAATAAAGAAATAACAGCTGGACAGCAACATAAAGACGACAAGAGTTGTTCTGCTCCTCGTTCAGACAGAATCATTTCATGAGACTGAAGATCCAACACTTTGTTCCAGTCGTCTGCAGCATCACAGAGGAAAAAGTAAAAACCCGGCAGGAGTCTGGAGCGGAGAGGATCAACGCTACGCACGGCACCGCTGTAAAAAAAAAATAAAATGACCTGACCTAATCCTGAAAACTAATCCTGAGGAACAGGGCGTCAGTGTCAAACTGAACTGAGCTGCAGTGACGACACATGAGCGATGAAGAGCACTTGATTTACTCCGCAGCGCAGCCGGCAACAGGGCGGCGCTTTTTAATGTGACTAATGCGGGTGGATTTCATGAAGTACCTTGCGACTCAGGGGCACCTCGATGGGGACGGGGACCACCTCGGCCAGCAGACATCCGTAGAAGGCCACCATGAAGGCTACTGGGTCGTTGTTAGGGAACACCAGCGCTACCTGGGGGAGGGACAGAGGACAGCGTGCGGATTCAGAGATCAGACCATTTGTAAACATCAGCACAGATCAAGGGTGAAAAAGTAAAAAGAAAACTTTCAGCGGTTTCTGAGCGACAAGCAACAAATTCTCTCACAGTCCAATCCCTCAACAGTTATAAATAAAACATCTGTACTGAACGACACCTCGTCCACTCCGCTGCAAAACACATCAAATGTCTCCTTTAAAATTCAGAGAACTGCTGATTCGTTACAACTCGGCCAAACGCGTCAACAACACTCCTGCGGTGAAGTGAGCACAAAGACGAGAAACCAAAATCTGTGAATGGTGGCGGTGCGGAGGAGTGTGACTCACCCGATCCCCCGGTCGCACCATGGGCTCCTGCTTGCTGCCCAGTTTGTGGAGGATGTTGTAGGCAAGCTTGATGCTGCGAGACCACAGCTTCCCTGCAGGGGGCAGGACACAGGATATGAGAGTGTGTGTGTGTGTGTGTGTGTGTGTGTGTGTGTGTGTTCTTTGTCTATTTCGAGGACACACAGTCAATAAAAGAAAAACACATATCTACCGTGACGACAGTTAAGAATGTTCAGCCGGCGGGAGAGGTCTCTATGGATGATCATTTTCAGTTCACTGTGATAATTCAAAGAGTTGTCTAATACAATAATGTTGTAAATAAAGACGGTTCTGGTCACAGGACTTCAGTTTGAATCTAACTCATGATTTAAACTGAAGGTCCTTGATAAAGACGAGGTGTGTGTGTGCTGGAACTGTACGAGCTTATTCTCCTGCGTTCCTTCAAGAGAAAACACAGAGTGTTCTCACTGATACATGATACTGACCCTTTGGTTAATACTTCAAATGTATAATGTTGTTGGGGTTAGAATCCGTTTCTATTTCCTGATTTAACTTTATTATTTCATTCAGTCACAGCTGCTTCGTAGACTTTGGAAATGAATCTGCTTGGAACCCAGGGAGAGCTGCAGGGTCCCATCGAGGTTTAAATGATGTTGTGATGAAATATGTACCAACATGAAACAACAGCTTCGGTTTCTGGAGATTCTTTTCTTGTGTTTAGAAGAGTCTCATTCTTTTTGTCCACAAGCAGCTAAAACCTCCACGTGAATCTTCCAGCGATCATTGCACATGTTCTGCTTCACATACATAACGACGTAGATGTACTGAGTGCTCAAGCGCCTGGTTACCATATGTGAGAACGTAGAGGGGCTTCCCTGCCGTGTCCAGGCTGGTGAGGCAGGGGGCTTTCGGGGAAATGGTTCCCCAGCGTTGGAGCGCAGCCTCCAGGGAGGGGGGCCAGTTAGTGACCACCCCCAGCGCCTCGCCTCGCACCAGCATCATCTCCGCCCCCTCCGGCCGTGGCTGATTGGGGTCCGGCTGCTGGACTGCAGATGAGGAGACAGATAACGTGTCACTGTGGTGGTGGAAACATTGAGCTAACGTGAGACGGCTGTGAGGAAGCTGTAATCACACTCCGACACACTGCTAATGAATAAGCTGTTATTAATACAGATGTGTTGTGGGAATGTGAAGGGCAACCGAATCTTTAATATGCTTTAATATTTAGTTGAGACAGCAGTGAGCCTCAGAGGGAGGGATTCAGTCGGATTCGACCTTGAGCCATCGTCATAAAAAATGGATCCAGAGTGAACTGGAGGTCTTAGTCACTATATCACCCCCCGAGCTCCACATGATCCCGAGTGACCGCAGCGCAGATATTTACAACCCGCTGTAAAACGGATCCGAACTCTGCAAGAAAAGTGAAGAAATAGCAGTTTTCCAGGAGATAAGGTTTCTGAAGACGACAATGAAAGATTAGCGACTAGAAGCGAGGAGACAAAGATAGAAAACGCAGCCAGATGGAGAAAGAACGAGCAGACGTAAAGATCTGCTCTGATCTCTGGGCTCAGGATTCCTACGACATAAACTTCAAAAAACTCTGAACTTGGTCAGGAACTTTTTGTTCTGTGAGAGCTGCGCTGACGATCATCTGGTCTCTAACATGGACTCCACATGACCCTGGGTGGAAATAATTCTTTACTCTGACACATGTAAGTTATCAAGGAGAAGCTGCACATATAAAATAAGACAGAAAGAAGGTTTCTGTGACCTAGATATTGTTTTTATCTCAAAACTTAGTGTTGGAACCTTTTTTATATCAACACAAACTAATAAGACAGAGCTTCTCAGGATGCAGATAAGTTAGTTGGCTTTAGTTCATATTTCTTATTTTGTTGATATTAAAAAAGAAAATCTGACGTATTTAAGGGACTGATATTTATGAGTGTGTGTAATTGGGGGCAGTTCCTGTTCCTGTTATTACTAATCACAGCTCGAGAACACCTGGGAGCCAGTTCAGATGTTCTGGCTCGGCAGCTCCTACCCATCATGCCTCACTCTCTGCTGCACCCACCCAACACATACTTTCAGATTATAGTTTTTTTAACTTTCAGTGCTCCCTCTGCTCTACGGCTGCTGCTTCACTGCTCTGCAAGAAATCTCTCCAACCTTCCTCACAGCTGCAGATTTGCTTCATTCAGCCTCCACCTGCACGCTCCGACTCCAGTCACAAGACAAGAGTCGGATATTTCATCGTGACTCCAAAGTGTGAGACAAACTGCCCCAGACTGAGTCACGCAGACACAAAGACAGATTCTGACCCTCTAGAAGTTCATCGAAGTCGTCGACAAAGAACTCTCGTAGCGGAGGCCTGCGCGGCTGCTTCAGCGTGTTCACCAGCTGCTGGATCTTAGCCGACACACGACTGCTGACCGGGACGCCTGCAGGAAGCACAAAGACACAACCGGTCACTGGAAAGAAAAGTGGAGGAAGTACTTCCTAAAGAGTCCGTGAGGATCTCGTCAATAACCACAAGAGCCAGATAAACGTATAAACTATAAATAATTATAAATAAAGAGAAATGAAAACAACTTGAATGAAGAAAAAATGTTTTTTAGGTAAAATATTTTATGTTTACTCTGTAAAGGGGTAAAAGAAAAAAGTGAATCTGCTCATCGAGGGGAGTGACATCAGCAGACTCCCTGTAATTGGTCAGTTCTCTAAGGTGTCGGTCCAATTAGAGTTCACCTCCTGTTTCTATTTTTATCCAGGTGTCTTCAGTATCTTTAGTCAGAGGCTCCAGTTGGGAGCGGGCTTGAGATGCCACCGCGTTCCACACAGCGACAGCGGTGACTCTTACCGTCGCCTGTCTCCATGCGCTCTGCGTTGCCGTACTTCTGCGTGTTCCTGGCAATGGTTCCCATGTTGGACATGTGGTGACGCTCAGTGTGGGAGTGAGACGAGTCCGACGAGTAGCCCGTCACATCCGGGGGGGCAGAGTGATTCTCTGGAGGGAGACAGAAGAACAAACAGCCAGTGGTGACTCACTGTTCAGATTTATCGCTGCGCTCTCTCGCCTCTCTGCTCAATTAGTCAGGTTCTTATGCTCAATTGGACTTTTTAGTTAATTTGGGTCAAATCTCCGACACACAGGAGAGAGCGAGGTCTGGGCTCGTTTTCAATTAAATGCCGATTTCAACACATCCATTCTTTTAAATACTCTGAAGCAAAATGTAAATGAGACACAATCAGATTAGACAAAAATCTGAAGCTCGACAACAACTTTTAATATCTAAAAATCATGAAAAAGGTTTTTATAGATGCAGGATCAAAACCACTGACTGAGGTCAGAATGTGAATCTCTGGAAGCTTTAATCTCATTCTTTTGTTCTGATGATACCGTAAATGTCCTAAAAGAGATCTGTTTACCTCGGAACATATTCAACACTTAATCCAACAAGTATTTGGCCGAACCTCAGCCCTGATTAAGACACTTCCACAGCCTGCAGAGACTCCATGACAGGGCGAGTATTTTTGGGCTGTGACGTACCGTCTGACTCCAGCGGCGGTGGCCACAGCATGTCGGAGCCAAACTCACAGGATCGCCGAAGAGATCCTCCGTTCTCTGCGACGCTCAGAGCTCCCTTCCTCTTCAGGGACAAGTGGCCGATTCCTGAATTCACAGGGACGGGTATGTTACAGACGGGCACAGGTAAATATTAGAAAGTATGAGTAAATAACATAAATCAACAAAACAAATAGGGAAGTATCAATAAAAGAGAAGGGTGGTGGTGTAAATAAAATAAATAAAACGCGGGGGAACACAGAAAGGCCCTGGTCGAACCAGGAGTCCAACCCAGGACGTCAAGAACGTGATCATGAGCTGGAGGTGGAGGTGCTACGTAGCATGAATTGATAAACTTCAGTGTTTCAACACGTTCATTATCACTGTGAACCACACACGTGATCTAATCATGTGACCACTTGATAACTGAAGCCGCAGATCTGTAATCGCACAAGTTGGTCTTACCGTGGTGTGACTGTGACAGGAGGCTCTGCTGGTGGAGCGACTGGCCCAGGTGCGTGTGCGCCAGGTGTGCGTGCGCCAGGTGCGAGATGTGCGTGTGGGCCAGTGAGTCGGCCAGTCGCCCGGCGTTGCCGCTGCCTCCGCTCTGCGTTGACGAGGAAGAGGAGGAGGTGGAGCCCAGGTGGGCGGGGCCCAACTGGGATGGGCGGCTCATCCAGTGCTCCATGCCCGACATGTCGTCGCCCGGCCCCGCCTCCTCCTCCGAGCCCGACGACGAGTCTGAGCACAGGGGGGACAGGCCTGGTGAGAGTCAGTAACCGCCATTATTCGTTAACAGAAAACCTTCAAACAACGTCAACACACAGGCACTGGAATCAAAATGTCAACTGAAGATAAAACATTAAAGTTGAACATTTTCAGAGTTTATCTTCTGCTGGCCACTGTTTTCTGACTTCATGCTAAATTAAGCTAAGCTGCATTAGTCAGCTGTGAGCGATTTACCAATTTCATCATTATAATTTTCATAAATAAATCCAAATCAAACATTTAACTCCTCCTCTTCACATGTTATCTTTGCACAGTTTTACTTCTGTCGTGGTTACTTTTCTTCTTCTTCTTCTTTTATTGTTTAATGGCTTAAAAAAACCTTCTGTAACTTCCTGTGATTGGGCCGAAAGTCTGAGGTCCAGTCGGGACAAGGTTGATGTGAACTCACACTAAATATTAAATCATTAAATTAAATTAAATAAGCACCCACGGTTGTTGTCTATGTGTCCGTATACTTCTGTCTATGTAGTGAAAGTCATGATAATAATAATCACGATAATAAGAATGAAACAATAAAACAACATCCTCTCAGTTAAAGTGATCATTTATAATAAACAGAGCTTCAACATGTGAGACAACACGACTGTGGATCCACATGTGAGCCTGGTAATAACAAACAGATCTGAGCCGAGGGTTTTATTTCTGTCTCACAGAAACAATGGTTCAAATTAAAGCAGTGGACCATGATTCACCAGTTTTCACCAGTGGAGCCGTCCGACCTTTAAGTGGCCGAGGTAACAGGACTCGTGAGCTCACGCAGCCAAAATGTCAATAATTGGTCGGATTACGTGGAAACGCCCCGAAAACCAATTCACTTAAAACTGGCTCCAGGCTTCAAAGAGCCAGTTTCCTTCTTAAATTACGAGTCAATCATGTGAACGCAGATGAGGCGCAGTCAACATCGATGTGAACAGAAATCTTAGGTTTCACATCACAGAGACTTTCTACTTTACGTTCAGTGTTTCTGAGCCTGTTGAGAGACGTCAGCTTCGCCCACGAATTCCCTCAAAGGTTAGAAAGGAAATTACCGGCAAACAAAGATATTAAATTTCCTTTATTAAAATCTAATCAACATCTAATCTACGTTATCAACTCTGGTTATGTTCAATCTAATGAGCTCACATTTGAGGTAAAGGTCAACTTTGCTGTCTCGATTCAGCCGAGACAGAGGTGCACACAAACTTAGAGTTAAGAATCAGTCATTTTCCTATTTCTTAACGACGGGCCACATTGACAGTAGCTGACTCGCTGCAACACAACAGCTGTTTGCGGTTTGGTTTTACTGTAAATCTGTGAGTGGGTCTGAACGCCTCAGAAAATGTGCACGTTTGCATTTTTTGGTGAATGGAGTGTGTTTCTCTGTCAGAACCGAAGCGTCTGAGAAGCAGAGACAGGAGCATTACAACATAATCCTGTCTGGGCACAGGACGGCCTCTCTGGGGTCAGATTTTAGGTTTAGTACATCGCACTTCAGCTGAGATAACCACAGTGTGCGTGTTTGTGTGATTGTGTGTGTCCCTCTTTCACTTTCCAAGCATATTTTTCTACTGCGCAATTATTTCAGAGTCGACAGGAAATTATCCGGACTCCGTTTGACTTCACTCTAACTTGTGATTTCTGTCACATTAATCTGTCAGAGTCTCCTCCAAATAGAAATTAAGAAGACGACAACATTTCCTAAAGCAGATAACAGAGCTGCAGGTGTGTGTGTGTGAGTGTGTGTGTGTGTCTCATCACCTGGAGGCGTGTACGCATCCATGGAGGTCTGCACCACCAGTGAACGTCTTTTGGAGGGCATGGGCACCGCCACCTTCCGCTCCACGTGTCGCGCCAACACCGCCTGCACGGCCTCGGTGTGGACATCTGAGATAAAGA